AGTGGTATTTAGTGAAATGGCTTGTATATACAGTATGATGCAAATATATGGAATAAATTCATTATTTCAAAAATGGCATACATTGACTGATAAAAGTATTACATTCTAAATCACTGTCCTGTCACATTTACAATTATTTGTTTGGTTCAATCTGACACTAATTCACTATAAATTAGTAATGAAGCTTGTAGAAACTGAACGAATCGAAATTTTAATTATGATTGGCTGTGGAGATAAAGAACCGAAGTTTGTAATTTATTTAATGCTAAATACCCCAATCGTGAACCTGTTTCTCAATCAGTAATAAGTAAAATTGAGAAAAAGTTTCGAGAAACGGGCTACAAGTGGAAGAAAATCAATTCCTGAGGCCAAAAAACTTGACGTAGTACTTGCGTTTCAAGAAAATCCTCATACTAGCTCGACGCAAGTCGCACTGGATAATAATTTGCACCAATCAATCTTGTTAGAGTACCTACTAAAAAAGGATAAGTGTCATCTTTACAAAATACGGATATTTTTATCCTTAAAGACGTTAGAAGATGACTTTGATAGAAGAATCGAATCTGCGAAACCATTATGGAACGATCTATCAGAGATAGGAGTTTCATAAAAAAGGTACTCTTCTCTTCAGATGAAGCTACCTTCATGCTCAATGGTCATGTAAACCACCAGACGTGGGCAAGTAAAAATCCATATTGAATGGAGGAGGAGTCTAGCACACAATATCCAGAAAAGGTGAAAGGGCCGGAATTATAAACAACCAGATTATAGGGCCATACTTTTTTAAAGAGAACTTAACTGGTCCTCGATATCTAGAGTTTCTGCAGGGTTACCTGTTGCCACAACTGAATCAGCTATTTCCAAATAGAAATGATTTGTGGTTCCAGCAAGATGGGACACCCCCACACTACACCGTTGATGTACGGGCTTACTTAACGTTTTCCATGGTAGATGGATAGAGAGGAGACGATCGATAGAAGGGGCTCCAAGGTCTCCAGATTTGACTCCATTAGACTTCTTCTATGTTGAAGACCAAAGTTTATCAAAGTCGACCAAATAGTCTGTAAGAGTTAAAAGAGCGTATCGGAACGGATATTGCAGACGTAACCCGTGAAGTTCTAGAAACCATTAGAGAAGTATTTACTGCTCGATTAGCAGATCTTTCAATTCAAAATTTAAAATTGACGTGTTTCAGGATTTTTTTCAAAAGTCGTCCATTTTTTAAATGAATTTATTCTATACATTTGCATCATACTGTGTAGTGTCAAGGTGCATTTATTTCAATGTTTAGTGACGATATGATGTGTTTGTGTGTCTTCATTGTCAGCATGCATTGTTGTCTGTTGACAACAATGCATGCTGTAGCTGTAGCTCCCAACTAACTGTCTATTGAGGTTATATTACTGTCCGGCGGTTATAAAAATTTCGAAAAGTTAAAAAAAATGTTAAAAACTTACGATATGTGATCCTAAAAGTTTAAATATGACACCCGTCCTCTTTTAAAGATACCTAATAATATTTGCACTACAACTAGTCGTGTTAATCTAACACTGCAATTAATACAGAAGAGAAACCAGTTCTGGTATATTTTCAACGAATTTACATCATTATGGTAAAAGTGTTGAACGTTATACATACCCACTTATTATTTATAATAGAGGCCTTCTCCGTGTCAATGACATCCTAACTGCGATATTTATTTTCGAATAATAATTAATTTATAACGCTTTCTATGAATTCAGCTTCTAATTAGCGCAAAAGATAGAGTGGCCGATGGCCAGATACAATTACTTCGAGATAATTGTTGTACGGCGATTGGCTGATTGCCGTGGTAATGAAAATCGAAAGTGTGTTATCAAACTTGGTGCATCTCGATGCCTCGTACGTCTAAGGAGAGTTGGAAGAGGTAAAAGTGAGAGTCGAAAGAAAGAACCGTTCTCTTGTTAAAGCAAGCGTTTAGCTGGTGCGGCATATTAGAGGAAATTAGTTTGTATACGGACGGGCTGGTCCTACAATAATTGTACGAATAACTTTAAAATGGCATAACTCGGTCAAAAAAAATTGTAGGGACTTGATTTTTTTTTTCAAATTGCTTGTTAGAAAGTGCACTTTACGAGAGCCTTAAGAAAAAAGAATGGTTGGTCTTTATCAGGACATGGGCATGAGTCAACATTATCTGCATCTGTCTGAATGTTATCTGATACTGATGCTTCTACAATATTTTCAATTTATTTTATTTATGATTCTCTATAAAATTTCCTGGGAAGGTTACACTGTCAGACATTTTCTTCGCCAATAATATTCTTTATTATTCAAATAAGTATAGCTTGTTTTTAAATATTACCTAACATTGACATTGGCATTACGTAAATATGCAAATGTAAAAGAAAAATACAATATATATGAATGACAACAATTCAATGTATGGTAATTATATTCTCTGTGTTTATGTGTATATGTCAAGTATTGTAATATTCCAATTAAAGAAATACGATTAAAAAAAATAATGACCGCCCAGAAAGGAATTAGCGGAATTGTACCCTTTAGTCAGTTTGGTCATATGTTGCAACAAAATATTATGGCTCTGTTTTAGTTTATTAAATATTTTGAGATATCTACGGCAAAAGGGAAAAATTCTTTTGTTTCACAAATTGAACTACATATTTTTTATTTTATCACACCATGAATAAATAATAAATTTAGAATGTCAGCATTTGGATAAATGTTAACGTTTTCCATTCTTTAACAATAAATAATACTCAAATAAATATTCACTGTATGTGTTAAATTGACAACAATAAACTGGTGACAGATTAGGTGCTTGTTTTGAAGTTCCACTAAAAATTTCACAGCCATCCTCGCAAGAAATTATGCGATATCCGTCGACTACACGAAAAACAGTAAATACCTTAAAAACCAGAAGAGATAGGTATAGGGAACCATTCGAAAGAGAACAAAATTGTTCATCAGGTTGTGTAAAAATATACAGGGTGTTCCATTTAATAAAAATAAGTTAAGATGGTTTAAAGTTGACTAAATTCGGCATTAAATTTCTACCACCCTGTATGAAATTAGGTCATTTTGAAATTATGGCAGGAAAGCTTAGAGTTTTAGTTATGTCCCCTATAAATTTTATCGCTCTGATTTTATTATTATAAGTGCTTTTTAATTTTAAAAAAAAAATTATATATCAAAAAGGGTTAACTTTAAGCATAGGAAACCTTTATGAAAGTTCACCTAAAATTTGACGTAGAATCCAAAATTGCAATAATATACAGGGTGTTCCATTTAAAATAACGAAGATAACGGCAACTTCCGGTATAACCGGAAGCGTTGGGTGGACGCCATTATTTTAGTTGAGAATTGCATGCTCGAAAACACTATTCCCCACATTTTCAAAATTAAAATCGAAGTGCTCTCTGAAATATGTCTAATGTCGCGTCACCGTGAGACACCCTGAATGTTATATAATTTTATCAGAATAAAATTGTACATTAAAAAATGTAATAATTTACAGGGTGTTCCATTGAAAAAATAATAAGTTGTATCTGCCACATCGACATTTAAATTTGAATTGTTTTTTTTTGGTTGCTACAAACAGAAACTTCATAAAAAACACTACAACTTTTATTTCAACAAAATTTTTATGTCTTGCAAAACTAACCAAGATAAGTGGGGTGGGAAAGTTAAGTGGGACACCCTGTACATAATAATATATTTATATTGAGAAACAGTGGCTGGACCCCTTACATTTGTGGTAATTATTTGGTATAGTGGCACCCTCCCAAATCTTCACAAAACTTTGTCTATCCCCCTATTTTCGATGCTGCTGAACACGAATCTGAAGTTATTTTTGTGCGGTCGAACCTAATTTTTGAGAAAAAAAATTTTCTAAATTCTAATCTGAATATTTCAGATGACACTACGTAGAACTCTGTATATTTGATGTAGCTTTCAGAACATCTGTTATGAACAATTAACACTGTTCACGAAACACATTTTCGCAAATTTCAAGTAAAAAAATATGTATTTAATAAATACAAATTTTGTAGTTTGAATCTGCCATTTGTAATTCGTGATGACAACATTGAGTTCCTCCACTCTCATTCATCTCTGTTCATCTCAATTTTATTTATTAAATACATATTTTTTTTACTTCAAATTTGGGAAAATGTGTTTCTTAAACAATGTTGATTGTTTATTACAGATGTTCTGAAAGCTACATAAAATATACAGAGTTCTACGTAGTGTTATCTGAAATATCCAGGTTAGAATTTTGAAAAAAATTTTTCTCGAAAACTGAGTTCGACCGCACAAAAAAAACTTCATATTCGTGTTCAGCACCATCGAAAATAGGCGGGTAGACAAAATTTCGTGAAAATTGGAGAGGGTGGCACTATAGTAAATAATTACCATATTTTTATTTTTATTTAATTATGATGATATGAAGGGATATTATGGTCGCAAAAGATTTTTTGCTTAATTCCGGACTCCCTGTACATGTTTCCATGGCAGGCGCCGTAATCAAGCTCAGAAAAGGCGTGGAAGCGTCGCAAAACGGCGGGACTTCGCGGGAGCCCCTCGTAGATGCGGTCGGCCGGCGATGTGACACGGAGCAGAATTTGGCAGTTCGGAGGAGAAACCAGAACGCAATAAAGACCACGCGAAGTGTACGGAGAGGCTCGCGACCTGAAATCGATAAGCAGTCAGAGCTAGCGCTGGGTTCATGAGCCGATTTCAAGGACAAGGCCAAGCCGGAGCGCGGCACGGACTCGCCGCATTACAGAGCCGCGAGCTCATTCGTTCGCACCGTGTCAACATAGCGCGCCATACCGCCACCGGTCCGCCAGATCCGAAACCTCCCGTCGAAGTCACCCCGCAAGTGCATGTGCCAGACAGACATGGGGCGTTAAGGGTGCAGCGCAAGCGCGCCCCTGCGTTTCACCCGAACTGCATTTCAGTTTCACTTTCATTCTCATTCTATCTCGGACTAGCCCCGAAACGCGTGTGGATCTCTGTGTCATCGCGGGACATGAGCGGAACTTTTACTTTTTGAACCAGTGCGATACATAACACCAGTGACCATGCAGGCCGCCACCATTGTGTTTAAGACCGAGCCCAAGGAGTTCCGCATCCCGAACGGGCCGATTGTGTCCTCCACGTCTTCGCCGACGACCGCTGGTAACACCATGCGGCCACCGCCGCCCCCCCCGCCACCCAAAATTAAGGTCATCGAGAACAAGCTCGAGGAACCCTCCAGCTCCATCCCTGATCTCGGTAAGCACCAAAACTCCCCAGAAATACTTATTTAAGACTGTTCCGCTTCACCATTTGGTTATCTTTAGAGGTTAAGGACCTTCCAAAGGACACCACCGTAACCACTTAATTGTTTACCCGATCTCGGTCGTACTGTTGATAGATACGTAGATATATATAGTACGTTATGTATATAGATAATACACTTCTAGTAAGTCAAAGTTTAAGGCATGATTAAAAGCAATACAATTGGAAAGAGAATATAAAAACATCCGCGAAAGTATTCTTAGTAATAACACCGCAAAGTTAATAATAGCAATTACAGAAATTTTAACACAGTTTCCAAATATAATAATTCACTTATGTAGTTGTAAAACTGCTGTCGCAGATTCATCTACAATGTAGAAACTGCTCTGTAACATATATAATTTTGAATATTCTTTAAACGAAAGCAAATTTGTTTTTAGGAACTAGGAGTCGACAGATAGTTGATGTATAGTTACACATATTTGTATCACTATCACTTTTCTTTTATGCGTTTAATCTATAAAATGGGTCTATTAAAAAATCAGATGTGCAGTAGTTTGCAGGTTATTTCTGTTCTGAATTATTATGGACCCAAAACAATTATTGCATGTTACTGCATCCTCAAAATTTTGATAAAATCGCTAGTTTCCCCATAAATCTACCCCATAACTGATCCCTGAGTGGATCAGGGAATTGTATACAGTTAATAAGGTACTCAGTGCAACACATCTTAATAGATAAAGGTAACTGGACAAATTTCTTATCTGTTGCATAAATACAAAATACAAATACACACATACCGAGATACATGCACAAATATATGTACAGCAAATACATAAATAGTTCTTGTTAGTAGATAAGAAACGCTCTTATTTGTACTACTATTTTTAAATATATGTCGCACCCACACTACTCGAGCCAATGTAAACAAATGTATAAAATGGGATATTACCGTGGAGCGCTCGAAACTTACCCACTTTACCTGACAGCTACTGATTTCGTTCGGTGGTGCTGTCCACTTCAAACACCAAGCCAAACCAAAATAATGTGTTTGAGAATCAGGAATGTGGTGCGATATGGAGTCGTGATAACAAATATTTTTTCGAAGGTCGGTCAACTGATAACATTTGAATATGTTTAATTTATTTTAATGTTAGGCCACCAAATAGATTTTTTCGTAAGCGGATCCCTGTCCACTTTTGACACGGCTGGATTATTTCACTTTATATACAGGGTGACCGGAAGAGTCATTTACTGAGAATATTCTTCCGCTTCTTCCGCTTCTAATGCTTCAATATCGGTGTTGCTTTAGATTTCGCAATTCACACTGCCAAAATTTATACAAATATTATACGGGGTGTAATTTTGAATGGGGGGGGGGTCATATTTACACGGAAGCTACCTTTGACCTTTAGAAACACAACAACGTTTCACTAAATACTACCTTATATCCTATTCACATATCACATCAGGTGTAAAGTCTACTTGCATATTCTAATCACGTAAACAATGATAAAAAACGTGCTGCTGCGAAACTATTAGTCGCAAGGGGTTGAACGGCAATCCCCGCTAATGACTAGCTTTTATTTCATGCGTATCATTCGCGTATCATTTTGTTTCTATTTTATGTTGTTTTGGATTAATTTAAGATGTCTAGCATTGATTCGCCTAAGTTAGTTTAATAATTATGTATATTTTTACATGTTTGTATAAAACGTTTTCTTGCAATTATAATAATATAAGGTTTCATTTTGCGCACACTTCTAATGATAAGGGAGATATTGATGGTAAAAATGTGCGATAAGAGCATTACATTATTTCCTTCTAAGATTCTTAGTTACAATCTTGTGACTATATCTCCTTTACCAAGATGTCAAATCAAAACGATCTTTCCAAAGTAAAAATATAAGGGATGTTCAGTTAGTTCTATACCTCTCTAAACTGATGCACAACTGATTTCCGAATATGTGTTTTAGAAAATTAAAAATGTTCCATACAATTTTTATTTTTGTTTTTACAATTTTTTCTTACATCGGAAAATAATTCGAAATCTATATGACATATATGATGGACCATCCCTTACAAAAATCAATGCAATACATTTATTAACAGTAAATTGGAGTTTTTTCGTATAGTTATCTACGTGTTTATTAATATTTTAAGATTGAAAAAACTACCTATACCCATCCAAATTTTCAATCAATTTTGTTAATGTGTTTATTATATACTATATAATTGTTTAGAAACATCAAAGGTAGCTATAAATTTGTCACAAGTTTATTTGTCAAAATATGCTCACTGTAAATCAGTCTTTAAGACCAAACTGTATCGATATACGTTGAGTTATATTGATGGATATATTTCCAAGAAAATTCAAATCTCAAGGTTGCTAAATGCACCAGCAATAATGTCATTTGTTTACCATACTAAATCATTAAAATGCTTGATAGTATCGATCATCAATATTGTTTTCTATCAGGAATATTTTGCACAAATAAGCGTATGCGTACCGTTTTATAAAATATTCAGAAATTTAATTAATTAATTTTATTTAATTTACCCAACGGGAGAAACCCGATTACAGGTTGAATATTACAGCTACAATAAATATACATTAACACAAGAACCATAAACATTTAAAATAAGCAAAAATAAAAATAAAAATTACCAAAAAGTACAAACGTCAATCAGAAACAATGTCAGTCAATCAATAAATAGCAAAACGGTAGTAAAGTCACATAAGAATTAGTATATCTAAAAATCATCATAAATAACTACATAAGTAATACAAAAACAAAAAAGAAATTAAAATCCGAAAACTCTGTTCTGAGAATAGAAAATTCTTTTAATATGTGCTATAGAAGTATTGAAAATGTCCAGGCTATTCTCCGTATTATGATAATTAAAAAGCATTTGATGTAAAGGAGACCACCGCAACATGTTTGTGCGCGAAGAAGGAAGACTGAACAAACTATTTGGTCTGGGAACATGGTAATTTATTTGCGTTGTAAGCTCAATGCAATCAATCAATATTGTGGTTGACAATTTTGTACAAGAACATTATCGAGTACATAACCCTCCTCCTAATTAAACTATGCATTTCAATTTCAAACCTATCCAATAATAAATCTTGAGGATATTCGAGAGCTGGATAGACTCCATCTAAGATGAAACTAGCCGATTTAAGAAACCTCTGCACTTTTTTTAATGTAACAATTATAATATGGAGACCAAACCACAGAGGCATATTCTAACTTGAGTTTAACAAAGCACGTGGTACGTAATGTAGACATATTCTTAAAGTCCTTACTATTTCGAAGAATAAAACCCAAGTTTTTGTAAGCCCTTGTGACAGATTCAGCAATATTTGCAGAAAAGGTTCATTTTGGGTCAAAGATGACCCTTAAGTCCTTAATATGTTCAGGTCTAACCAGTACCTGATCACGTAGGCTGTAATTAAACTAGATACTAGTTTTACGGGAGAAAGACATTACATTGCCCTTTGAAACGTTTAAGGGGAGCCGATTATTATCACATCAAATGGTGAGCAAATTCAAGCTGTGCTGAAGCCTATTACAATCAGATACAGAGTTGACATTGGCATAAATTTTCAAATCGTCAGCAAATTGTAACATTGATGAAAATGATAAAAAACAGTGGTCCTAGTACTGACCCTTGAGGAACGCCTGATGTTTGGACTAAATATATCTGATTTGTAACCACGACATTGTACAAATTGAACACGAGTTTACGAAGCAATATACCACGATCTAATTTGTCGAAGGCTTTAGTGAAATCTGTATATATAACGTCCACCTAACCTCTCATATCCAAAGTCTCAACAATAAATTTTGTAGCACACACAAGATTGGACACTGCTCAGGAACAATTAAGTTTTTAGCATAAAAATAAATATGCGCGAATAATAATTTCAAATAATTTAGAGAAGTTGCACAAAATAGCAATATATATATATATATAGTTTTCAACATCCTCCTTGTTATCCCTTTTAAAAACTGAACACACACGAGACTGTTTCCATAAATCAGGGAAGGTGTTAGATCTAGGTGTTAGGTGTTAGATTTGATTAAAGATCGTGCATAACGGTTTGGAAAATAAGCAAGCACAATCCTTGATAATAATGGCCGGCAAGTTGTCTGGACCCATCGTCATATTTGCCTTCAGTCTCTTTATAGAATTTAAAATTTTATCTTCCGTAATTTCAGGAATATATGGGATGTCATTATCGTTTACATAGTATTGTGAATTTAAATAAAAATTGGTGGAATCGCAATTAGACCCATTATATGACAATGAAGATGATATACGAGTAGAACCCTTTTCTGAGTTTACAAAGTTCCAGAATTTTTAGAATCGCTCATAATTGTATTTTCGGACTCTAGTATATAATTTGTATAAGCAATCTTGATGGCAGATTTTACCTGGGAACGAATATTTTTAAAGTTAACATAATCATTAAGCTATTTAGAAGTATTAAATTACGAGGTTTAAATATTTTGTCATCCTTATTAAGAGAATAATACAAATTTTGGTAGTCCACCATTCCTTATTTCGTTTTTGTCCAAACCTACCCCAATGAGTTGTTTTTCTCACTATTTAACTTCACTTGATCATGATTAATGTTTCTGTCGATGTTGTTGGCCTTACATTTATTTAACTTAATCATATTTTATTGGTATATGCCCACATACTAGATGCCTTTAGACTCTAGCCCATTCTATATATAGTCCAGTCGGCAGAGGCCGAAAAGTTACTGTTGGTGACATTTTCTTGATAACTAAATTAAAAAAACGGTGACGTATAAAACCCTACCAAAGCTGCAAAAATGAAGATAATTGAATTTTGCAAATTGCTTTTGGTTTCTGCATATTTACACTATGTGTATACCAAATTTCAAGTGTCAGATTCGAACAAATTTGGCAGTTTCGAGTTTCAGATGCCGATGGATGTATAAAACCTTATAGAACAAAAAG